CCCTCATTAGATGCATGTGTCATTGCGGACTGTGCGACTCATGATGTCAATTCTTTCTGCAACAAGAATGATGGCATGGCATCCAGTGTGTGCAACACCGGTCGGATTCAAGCTGAAAAATGGCACCTGCGCTGGTAAGCCCAAGTCCAGCGCACACTACAAAAACTGTTTGGCCACGGAAACCGGGTTGCACATTTTTCAGGCTGGCTGTTGCAAAGTGGCTTGCCAAAATGTACGAAACGAGCAACGTCGAGTAGCATGATTTAAAGCACCACGTCCATTCTTTAATTCGACTCGTTTATTTTTCTCGATTGAAATCGCATGTTGTGTATGCAAGGTTGGATATGAGTGGATCAATGGCATTTGCATTGGTGAGCCTTTGCCCATCCATCAGTGATTCCTTCCACCTTATCTCGTGCCATCCTGTTTATGTGCCTCGCTCTCCTTCCCCTTTCTTCCAAACTATTCTCGATGCACCTGATTCCCTATGTATCTTATTGATTATTTATCCGAACCCTCTTTATCCCTTCTTGCTCCTAAACCTTCTCCCCAACCTCCCCTCCATCAGATACCTGTCAGCTCCTGACGGAGCCCTGCGGCGCCAAGAGTCACTGCGTCCAGAGCGCCAGCACTGGGGAAGCATCCTGCTGGGGGTCCCGGTATTACTGGAAATAGGGCAGGTCCTCGTTACTAGGCTGAAACAGTCAGAGCCCGCTACCGTTGTTACGTTGCTCAAACAGAGTTCAGCTATAAAAAACTCAGATTTTTTAGGGTTCCACGAAATCGTCTTAGGGTTGCGGAGCTATATTTGCAAATTCATTGCTTGCATACATAATTGAAACGAAAAGAATTGTCAGGTGTATATCACGTTTACAAAATGTACGTATGAGTCGTTCATGCATTTGGAATACGTTTTTCACTCCCATATATGTGTATATATATATAGCTGTATAAATACCACACTGCATAAATGACTTTCTGATGCATTCATTCTTTTATCTCGGCGTATACCTCCTTGTTCTACAGTGAAAGTATTGCAATTCGGTTCTATGCTGCTAGTACACAACCTCGCAAAAAAAGTGCTACCACATTCAAGATATCCAGGTATCGATCACACGACCTGTCAGATCCCAGAGAACAAGCAAACCAAGCGTTACATAGGCTGAACTCAGTATCTATCTGAAACTCAGTTTTTTTTTTTTTTTTTTTTTTTTTTTTTGCGACGCTACAGCATGTACCTCCCACGGTTTCTTTCTTTTCTGCTTCTCCTTTCGAGACGCCCCTACCTAACAGCAAGTCGCCTCCCTAGCGTTGTAATCAGGCTAGGTTGCTAAGAACCTTCAGCAGTTTCTTAAGGTCGTATGTCAATAAGGTCTAGCCGGCAGCTGCCAGTCTTGGATTGTCGTGATTTTCTCGGGGTCGATTTTAACACCGTCGATGGAAATCACGTGACCCAAGAACTCTAGTTCATGTTTTAAAAAGCCGCACTTAGAGCCTTTGGTGATGAGTCAGTTCTGCTGCAGGGGAGAGAATACTGCTTCCAAATCCTTTTAATGCTGCTCCCCGGTTTTGCTGTAGACGAGAATGTCGTCGAGGTACACGATGATGCACTTATCCAGTAGTGGTCGAAAAACCTCGTTAGGCGCGCTTGTTAGGCCGAAGGGCATAACCGTGTACTTGTAACTCCCGTACCGCGTCCGAAACGCCGTCTTGTAGTAGTCAGCTTCGTGCACGCGAAGTTGGTGGTACCGCCTCGCAATCACTGTTTCTTCGCATTTGTCATATCCATCAAATTGTGGCTTGCCCTACCATCAACAAAGATTTCGATGCGGGTGTCGCCAACTCTTCTGTCAACCAGCACAAGGCGATCAACTGGTTCACCCCCCTTATTCAGCCAGGAATGGCCGATAGCCCAAATCGACACTATAAGCTGGTGGGGGTGTTGGCGTTTGGACGACGCAGTCAAGTCAGTAGGTGGCCCATCTGCTACTGACGATCTCCATTTCCCGATTGCTTCCCGTCATTAGCTAAATTCTTCTTCAGCTGCGGGCAGTCCCTCACCATGTGTCCCAGCTGGTTGCAGTGGAAACAGCATCCAAAAAATACCCGAGCTGCAAACACGTCCACGCCGTTGATTGATGTGTGTTGGAGATGGACTCGAAAGCGATTTCCCTCCCGGAAACTCGCCCTCGCGAGTCCACGCCTTATCTCCAACGCATCCGCGATTCGAACAATTTCGTTGAATGTTGCCGAAGCTCGCAGAACGATCTCTTGCTGAATCTCTGGCTTGAGACCACCCACGTAGCGATCGATCATCTCGTCTTCGCTAAGCCCTCCGATTTTATTGCATAACGGCAAGAAAGAAGCCGTGTATTCTTGGATATAGCCCAACTGTCTCCACATCCGAATCCTTGTGCGAGCATTTTCGTGCATGGATATGTGCTCGAATCGGCTCTTCAATGCTTCGCCCCACACTTTCCATGTGCGTATCGGGGCCGATCCAAAGATCGGTTCTGCCTGAGCCGTTGATGAACCGTGCTCCCCATCTACCGCCCGTTGATTCCCTGCCGGGGCTCCTCCTTCGTCTAGATTCATGCGCCACTAGTCGTGTGTCTGCCCCCTCAGCAGCGATACAGCCAAGTTGACGCGTAACGCGCTGTCATTAATACTTGCTGCTGTGAAGAAAATTTCCATGGCGAACAGCCAACCGCTGACTGCAGTCGTTGTGTTGGTCTGGTTGAACAACGGAGGCATTGCAGGTTTGATTTTAATGGCCGCCCGTGGTTCGCTGTGGACTTCTTCAACTGCTTCAGGTGTCGCCGACGCCCTCGCTTCCCTCGCAGCATCTTCGTCTCGGGTAACAGGCCGTCCTTGACGCATTTCACCCCGCGTCTGGCGAAGCGACGAGTTTTCATTGCGCAGCGTCTGTACTTCGCTTCCCAGCGACTCAAACTTATCGACGAGTTGTTGAAACTGAGCCTACAGTGTCGTCACTGTAGCCGCCCTGGCTTGCAACTCGTCAAACTCCTCCTGAGTCACGTTCATAACACTACGACGGGCAGAGGTTTTCCGGCGTGATACACATGCTGGAAATTTTACCTGACAGATCTGAGGGTGCACACACCTCTAGTTGGAGGAGCTTTAACGAGCTCACCTACCAACCGCAGGCCAACCCCCTATTCTGTCGGGTCCTCTCCCGATATAAATGGACTACTCTTCGGAAGACTAAGCGGGCAGGAACAGAGCTCTGGTACCAGCTGTTATGAATTAATCAGAGTAATAACAGGTAGTGTAATAAAGAAGTCGTGATTCAAGAGTGTCGATACAAATGAGGGCCTATGCATTTTTAGGCACGAACAGAGCTAGCCGAGAACCACGCGAACAGGTTGGGGCGGTCCGGTTGGCGAAAGCTACGGAAGCACCGTGCGTCGAGGTTTGGGTTCGCGAAGTCGTTCGGGACTGAAGAAATTGGCCGGGCCTGGACTTCCGAGAGTCGATGGCGTACATGCTGTTGTCGAGCCCAGTAAGGAAAAGGGAATTTCCTTACACTGAATGCCATTTTTGAAAAAGTGATCGTACTGAAGACTTCTAAGGCGCATAGACCACCGAAATGTGCCGAACCGAGCTGCACCGGAGACTGATAACAATATTTGTTGCACTTAGAGGCTGGCCAAAGTAGTGCAGGTGGGACGTCACGGACTCCCAAAGCGGGTTTCCACCACTATAGACGCTACAGTGGCGATTTTCGGGATGCCCAAAGTAGGGCTCCCGAAACCCCGTAATCACGATTGGCGTCAAACGCATTCTTTTCAACAAACGAGCGGGCAATAAAACAATGTTCAAAAAGCATCCTCGCACCCCACAACCCACCGAACACGAAACGGCGAAAACAAGGAAGTAGTCGCGAGAGCGCCTACGTCATGTGCGTATTGTAGCTACCACTGTTGGAATGCCATGTTGTAAATGTGGTAACACTTCGTCAGCTAGTGTTTTTTTTTGTTGCCTTGCCCCTGCCAAACATTTCCATGCGCATCACTGTTTGGGCAGAATTCGACACCATGTACATGGCCAAAGTAGGCTTTCGCGCTAGGTTTGACGTCCCCCTCCGACACCGAACTTTGCGGGTACATCAAGCTTTGCGCGTAGGTTGACGTCCGCTAAGCTTAGCTGGCGTCAACACTCTACTTTGGCCACCCCCCTAGGACAAACTGTAAGGGCGTGTCCAGCGCGTACGTTTTTGGTCAAAACCCTACCCAACCGTTTTATATTTGTTATCGATTATTCTGAAACGTGAGGCAACTCACCCCACCGTAATCAGACGTACGCGCTGGACACGCCCTAAGCGCATGCGGGTACAGATTGGAAAGGTGGCAACGGAAACACGAAGCGCAGAAAAACAGGAGTTACCATGCTGACGAATCATACGATGAGGTTTCGCCATTACCATCAGCATCGTACCCACTTCCGCCGGCCAACGAAAAGACCTAACGAAACAGGGACTCTCGCACGCTTGCACAGTAGACTGCCCAGTGCTGTCGCCTGTCCTAGTTTCGTTCCCCTCGCCGTCAAACAAGGAGCCAAAGCCCCTTGACTCGTTGTCCTCCTCGACTCACCTCACCTCCCACAGAGCCCTCCCATCCCATGTTAGTTTCTCTTCTGCGCTTGCGTCCCTTCTGCGCTTGTTTCACTTGCGCGGTGGATTAGGCCTCTTGCTAACAGGGTAATGACCCTTAATGTAGAGAAATTAAGAGTAACTTTTTAAGTGATTCCGTTTTTTTACAGGGCGATTTGTTTTCGAATCCGTCGGAAACAATTTCGCGCGACTCCTTAGCCGAACGAGTTTATTTTTTCTCGAATCCGTACGGGCTATACTTGTAGCAGGGCCATCTGTAGGGGGGACATACTTAGCCCCCCCCCCCTCCTTTTCCCCCGCCACGGATCACTTGCTAGCCGAATCTGTCGCGGCCGATTCCTTTCGGTAACGGTTTTTTTGGGGGAATTCCGTCTGTTAACGGGTTATCCTGAGGCACTTCCGTCCCCTTCTGGAATACCCTGGGGCTTAGCGAGAGGCCTGCGCTAGATCCATCCTGCTCTAGACCCCGCAGCGCCACCAGCTGACGCCGGGCCGCAGTCTACCCACCCGGAACGCTTGTCGCCTCCGGATCTAGTAGTGGCCTGTCATGCTGGAAACGACGAAAGCCAGACTGGCCGCCAGTGGCTCTTTTGGCTCAAGCCCCTTGGACTACCTTATCATCTCTTCGAGAATGGAAGATCTCAACTCAAGCAGGCCTGTTTGGATCTAGAGCCCCTTCCATTCGTCTCAAGCGGGCATTTTTGGCTCTACTACCAGAGCCACTTTCCACTCTTCAAGCGGGCCAGTTGGTCGGGTTCCGAATTTGGGCGCTCGCCGCGCCACGTGGCAAGCAGAGAGACCTTGAGTTGAGTTGATCCTCGCGATCAATCGTCGTTCACCGAATAGTCGTCCCCCATATCCCACACATTCGCACAAGTCGTCCTCCCACCCACACACCTCCCACCCGCATCATCGGCAATCGCCCCTGCCAATCGCACGCCACGAAAATCCGGGTGGACCCGGAGTCGCTCGCACCGGGCCGTGCCCGCCGCACAGACGGGCTCGTTCGTTCGCGCCTGCGTGCCATCCTCTCGTCACGTTTTGCGGCGCTGCCTTGCCGCGTAGTAGGCACCCACGAGTCGGAGTCGGAGTCGTCTCCTTGCGGCGGCAGTCTCTCAAGCTCGCCCGCTCTGCTGCCTTCTGCCCACAGACAGTCTTGCTGGCTTATTCTGTGGCCCATTGCAGTCAATTGAACTTGTCTGCTCTGACGGCGGCAGAGCAGGGTGGGCTTTGCTGTCGCGGCTGCTGGTCTGCTGCGAAGTCAAGTTATGCCCGGCTGCGCTGGGCTTGTCAATGGAACTCGTCTGCTCTGCTGCCACTGGCGAAGCCGGGCAGTGAGTTAGGGGTGGTTCAAGCCGAATGGCTCTCGCGACGGCGATTAGGGTCGTGCGAATGGCTGTCATCAGCCACGTTGAAACCCTCCTAGGCTCCCTCCCCTCCCCGCGGGAAAATCATGAGCGCGGATGCCGCGCGCGATGATAGTCAAGGGCCAAGGTCAAGCGTTCTGTCCCCCGGGGACTCTCCTTCCCCCCCCACTGACTGCTCCAGTAGGGTTGGGGAGGAGGGCATTCCGCCGAGGCCCCCTCCTCTTGCACGCCCCCCCCACCGTGGGGACTCTCCCTCTCATGGGGTCCGTGAGGTATTTAATCTCCCCTCGGCCTCTCCTTCACCACAGCCTTCGCTCTGAGTGAGAGCCTCTGAGCCTCTGCTGGCAACATAACTTATCGCAAACCACTGCTAGTACTACCCGGGGAGACCCCTACTAGTACTACCTCGAGATCATCATGGGTCGCCTCGTGCTCGCTGCTGCACTGCTCGCCCTCATGCTCTCGGGTATGCTCCCTCCCTTGTTGTTCCCTTGCTGCTTCCCTGTTGCTCCCGTGCTGCTCCCCTTTCGCTCCCGTGCTGCTCCCCTTTCGCTCCCGTGCTGCTCCCCTTTCGCTCCCGTGCTGCTCCCCTTTCGCTCCCGTGCTGCTCCCCTGTTGCTCTCTTACTGTCCAAATATGCCTCGTTTGCAGGCTTGATCGATCCCCTGTCTCTAGCTTTGCTCCCCTGCTCTCAAGGGGACCTCTGCAGGCTGCACTTGCAATCCATTCCCTCCTTTCCTCATTTCTTTCCCCTTTGCCCCTCCCCACTCCGCCCCCCGTTCGCCACTCTTTCTTCCGCCAGCCTGTGCGCCCATGGCTGCGGCCATCCGCCTGCCGACGTCCGGCGCCTGCCCCTGGGGGAAGGGCAGGGACGTGTCAGGCAATTGCGCTGGTGGGTGGCCTCTGCTGCGTCTGCTGCGTCTGCTGCGTCTGCTGCGTTTCCTTTCATTCCCTCATGCACTGCATCGCTCCATTCTGCCTGCCGTTCTTTTGTATGCCTGCACGCCTTAGCGTTCCACTTGTTTCGTCGTCAACTCTTACGTCTCCATCCTCTCCACGTTTCGCGCTCTCCTGCTTGATTCTTCATCCTCTGCCTCTGTGTCTGCTTGTGCCCTCCACGTGCCTGCGTGTGTCCCCCACGTGCCTTACTTCTTTAGACACGTGTGCGCTACGCAACTGCGGCGCCAACTCCAGGTGCCTCAAGGACGAGGCCGGCTGGGCCAACTGCGTGTGCCTCAGGGGCTTCCAGCTGCTGCCTAATGCCAGCTGCGCCCGTGAGTTGACACGTGACCCCTCATCTTGTTTTCAGTTGACGCTCGTGTCAGCTCGTGTCAGCTCGCTCTGCTCGTGTCAGCTCGTGTCACCTCATGTCAGTTCGTGTCGGCTCAAATCTGTTCCACACCCCATGCCCCACCGTGCGTTGCTGTGAGATCCGGCAGACTCGTGCGCCATCTTGGTGTGTGACGTGCATGCCACGTGCGTGAAGGAGGAGGACAGCCTGGCCACGTGTGTGTGCAACTGGGGCTACGCCATGACCCCTGATAACGGCTGCGTTGGTGAGTGCTGCTGTGCGGAGGATGTGACAGCTGCTCGAGACATCGTGATACCCACCTCCTTCCTTTCCATTCTCACATTCTTTCCGCAGTTCCATTCACGTGTCCTCTCCACCTCCACCCCCTCCGCTCCACCCCTCTGCCTGGAGTGCTGCTGCGCTTGAGGTTGTGGCAGCTGCTTCTTTTCAATTCTCAGCTTCATCATTTCATTCCTCGCGTGAATGGTCTCTTCCTCTCCACCACTCACGTCTTCTCCCTCCCTCTCCACCTCCACCCCTCCGCTCCACCCAGACACCTGCGTTCTCAAGAGCTGTGTTGGGAACGGCACGTGCCAGAAGGACGTCAATGGGACGGCGTCCTGTGTTTGTGGCTGGGGCTCCACGCTGCAGCTTGACAAGAGGACGTGCGCAGGTAGGTGCTGAACGAATCCAGGACATGCTCAGCTTTTGTGTTGTTTCTTTGCTCATGTCGTGACAGGACATTCAAAGGTACATGCTGCTCTAGTAGGACATGCCTCGTACGGGCTGCATTCAGAAGTATGTGCGGCCCTGAACCAACCCATGCCAATGAGCCTTGCTATTCCCCTTGCTCCTCCCTCCCCGCAGACAACTGCGAGATCCAGAGCTGTGGCGCGAATGGCCAGTGCCAGAAGGACGCTGCTGGAGCGGCATCCTGTGTTTGTGACACGGGCTATACGCTGCAGTCTGATGGCAGGACGTGCAAGGGTAGGTTATGAATGAATCCATCCAAGGCATACACAGGCATGGTATGTGGTGCATCTAGGCCCAGGACACGCACTGGTATGTGCTGCTCTAAACCATCACATGTCATTCACTCTTGCTGTTCCCCTTGCTCCTCCCTCCCCTCACCCAGACAACTGCGAGATCCAGAGCTGTGGCGCGAATGGCCAGTGCCAGAAGGACGCTGCTGGAGCGGCGTCCTGTGTTTGTGACACGGGCTATACGCTGCAGTCTGATGGCAGGACGTGCAAGGGTAGGTTCTGAATGAATCCATCCAAGGCATACACAGGCATGGTATGTGGTGCATCTAGGCCCAGGACACGCACTGGTATGTGCTGCTCTAAACCATCACATGTCATTCACTCTTGCTGTTCCCCTTGCTCCTCCCTCCCCTCACCCAGACAACTGCGAGATCCAGAGCTGTGGCGCGAATGGCCAGTGCCAGAAGGACGCTGCTGGAGCGGCGTCCTGTGCTTGTGACACGGGCTATACGCTGCAGTCTGATGGCAGGACGTGCAAGGGTAGGTTCTGAATGAATCCATCCAAGGCATACATAGGCATGGTATGTGGTGTATCTAGGCCCAGGACACGCACTGGTATGTGCTGCTCTAAACCATCCCATGCCATTCACTCTTCCTGTTCCCCTTGCTCCTCCCTCCCCTCATCCAGACAACTGCGAGATCCAGAGCTGTGGCGCGAATGGCCAGTGTTACAAGAACGAGACTACTGGAGAGGCGTTCTGTGTTTGTGACGATTACTACGTGCTGCAGGGTGACGGCAGGACGTGCACTGGTAGGTGCTGAATATGGTGTTTGCCACTATGTTCAAAACCTGGTCTGGGCTGCTGTGCGCTCTCTATGCTGCTGTAAGTCCAGTCGTCGATGCTTTCCTAACCTTCCCCTCTCCTTCTGCCGAATCCTGTCTCTGACCATCCTCCTCCTTTCAGATATCTGTATCGTCAAGGACTGTGCTGTCAGTCTTCCCAATTCTCACTGCGTCAAGGCCAACCTCACTGCAACCTGCGAATGCAACAAGAAGTTCGCCCTGTCTGAGGGCACATGCCATGGTACGATTTTGACTTTTGAGTCGACTCAAAAGTCATTTCGCCCTGTCTGAGGGCACATGCCATGGTACGATTTTGCCAGTCTCGTTGTCTCTGCTCTTTGCTACTCTTCGTTGCTTTCTCAAACGATCATCCGTTGACTCCCGTTCACTTTGCCTTTGGCGTCTCCTCCCCTGCCCTCGCCTCCCTACCTCCCCTCCCCCAGACACGTGCGAGCTCAAGGCGTGTGTGAACGGCACATGCAGCCAGGACGAGGAGACTGGAGAGGCGTCCTGTGCTTGCTACCCCGACTTTGAGCTGCAGTCTGACAACAGGACGTGCATTGGTAGGTGCTCAATATGGTGTGTGCGCCCCTGTGTTTAAAAGCTGTTGTTTGCAGCTGCGCTGCTGCTCTAGTATGTGAGTGGTGGTGCTTACAGTCGTCTCCCTACTGTCCTCACGTTGACATGGCATTCCTTTCCCTCTTCTGGTCGTTCTGGCCTTCCTGCCTCGGACTCTCTTTTCAGATATCTGTGTTCTCGCCAACTGTACGGCCAACTCCTATTGCGTCAAAGAGGCTGGCAAGCCAACCTGCCCCTGCCTGAAGGGATTCGACAAGTCAGGGGACCTTTGCGTCGGTAAGTTTTCCGGTCACGTTGTTTGTGCATGTGTGTGTGTGTGTGTGTGTGTGTGTGTGTGTGTGTGTGTGTGTGTGTGTGTGTGTGTGTGTGTGTGTGTGTGCATGCGTGTGTGCTGTGCATGCGCACCTTTGTGTTGAAGCTTTTCATTGCGTCTCTCCGTCCCTGCTTTCACGTCTCCTCCTCCCCCCTTCCTCGCCCGGACACCTGCCAACTCAAGGGCTGTGGTGCGAACCGCACGTGCGAACAAACGACAACAAGGGCAATTCTGAAACGCCCTTCATGCCTACCCCTCCCGCTGCTCTCCCTCCCCTCGCTCAGACACGTGCGAACTGAAGGGCTGTGTGGACGGGGAATGCTTCAAGTACGAGGAGACTGGAGCCGCATACTGTGTTTGCAACGCCACTGCTGGCTTGGCGCTGCTGCCTGATGAGACGACGTGCCAGGGTGGGTGGTGAAGTGGGTGGGTGCTGAGTAGGATGTGTGCCGAATATTGGGTGTACTGAGTATGGGGTGTGACCCTGTGTTCAAAAGTCGTTATGTGGTGCTGTGCTGCTCTGGTGTGTTCCAGTTCCAGTCGTCTCACACTTCCTGGTGGCGTCTTCAATCCTTCCTGGCCCTCCATTCAGATGCGTGTACTACCGCGGCCTGCGACGACAATGATGCCAATCGCGAGTGCATCAGGAATCCAGAAAATCCAGCTGATGTTCGCTGTGAATGCAAGACCAACTACACGATGTTTGAGGGCAAATGCACTGGTACGTTTACCGGAAACGTTGCGTGTATGCGTGTGTGGTACTTCCCTTTTTTTTCAAACCCTCCCCTCCACTTCTCCTTTCACGTCTCTTCCACCCTTCCGCTCCCAGACACGTGCAAGGTCAGGGCGTGTGTGAAGGGCATGTGCAGCCAGGAAGACGCCAGTCTGTGATCGTTGCCCCTACTTTCCCAACTTTAACATCTCTTTTTCTGTTCTCTTCCTCCGCACCCTCCTTTCAGATGTCTGTGTTATTAAGGAGCCTGATTGTGCAAGTGCCGATGTCAATTCCACTTGTTACAAGAGAGGCGGCCAAGGCGTGTGTGATTGCAAGGAGGGATATGCACTTTCAGAGGATGGCAAATGCACGGGTATTTACAAAATTCTCATTGAGTGTGTGTATTTTATGTCTGTGGGCTCGTGAGTTTGAATATTTCGCTGCAACTTTTTCCCCCCCCCCTTTTTTTTTCTGTTCTGTTTGTGCATTTCTGTGTCTGCGCTCTTCGATATTTTGTATGTTTGTCTCTTTTGTCTCTCTATCTTTGCTTTGTCATGCTTTACCATTTATCGTCTCCCCTCCCATCTTGTCTCATCTCCTCCCTGCCCCCCTATTTTCTCGTCACGCAGACACCTGTGACCTGAAGGGCTGTGTGGGCGGCACGTGCAACAAGTACCTCGATGGGATGGCATACTGCTCCTGCGACGCTGATGCTGGCTTCGTGCTGCTGGCTGATCAGTTGACGTGCGAACGTGAGTGCCGGGTATGGTGGGTGCCGGGTTGGGTATGGTGGGTGCTGTATAGGGTGAGTGAGTGCTGAATAGATTTTGTGACCCAGCGCTCAAAAACTGTTGTGTGCTGTGTTGCTGCTCTAGTATGGACATTTTCAAGCCTGTCTCATATTTCCCTGACTTGGACACCTCATGTCTTGCCTGATCCTCCTGGCCCTCCTTTCAGATGTGTGTATCAGCAAGAACTGCGAAGCCAATGATCCCAACTCCTATTGCACCTGGACCCGGGAGAACGGTGCAAGCTGTCCTTGCCAGCTCAAATTCCAGGAATCAGCAGGCAAATGCACTGGTACGTTTACGAGTCTCATAGTGTGTGCATATGTGTATTATTTACGTTGTTTTGTACACTTTCCATTTCTCTGCGAATCTACGATTCTCTAGACTTCCCTCCAACCCTTTTTTCAAACACAAGTGGCTGGATGGATCTCTTCCCCTCCAACAATCCCTTCCCTCATTTGCTTTTCCTCCGCCTCTCCCCTCACCCAGACACTTGCGAGCTCCAGAAGTGTGGTGAGCACAGCGAGTGCCAGTATCATGACGATGGATCGGCATACTGCGTTTGTGACACTGGCTTTACGCTGCAGCCTGATGGCGTGACGTGCAAAGGTAGGTGCTGCTGTGCTGTGTGCATAGCCTTGTCAATGCTGCTGTGTGCATAGCCTTGTCAATGCTGCTGTGTGCATAGCCTTGTCAATGCTGCTGTGTGCATAGCCTTGTCAATGCTGCTGTGTGCATAGCCTTGTCAATGCTGCTGTGTGCATAGCCTTGTTTGTCAATGCTGCTGTGCCCTCCACCCCCATCCCTCAGATAACTGTGCCATCCTGATGGAATCGGCGCCTTGCACTGGTGTCAACGAGCAGTGTGGCACGGACCCCACCACTGGGGTTGCCTCCTGCGTGTGCAAGCCTTACTACCACAGGAACGCAGGCACTTGTGTTAGTACGTATCCTACAAGTGCTTCCCTTCCTTGTACCACGCGTTTATTTTCTTTCCTTCTCTTCACACTTGCCACAAGCCACAGGCCACACGTGCCAACCTGTTGATGGCTTTGGGTCTTTTTTTTTTTCCTTACCCCCTTCCAGACAAATGCTTCGAGCCTGTTCTGTTTCACTGTAAGGACGACAAGAAGACTGGCTTACCACTCGCGGAATGCGTGAGGAGGGTGGACGGGAACCCGTTTTGTATGTGCGAAGAGAAGGTTGACCCGAAGACTGGTAATTGTATTGGTAAGTTGGCCTGGGTCTGTACAACCCTGGGTGTCCCTGTAAATAGAGGTTGTGCAACTCTTAGTTGGCTCATTCGTTAACCTCAGCCTGTGTCTTTTATGATTCTCAATCACCCTCTCTCCCTCTCTCCCTCTCCCTCTCTCTCTTTTCCCCTCTCCCCCTCTCTGCTTCTCCCCCTCTCCCCCTCTCTGCTTCTCCCCCTCTCCCCCTCTCTGCTTCTCCCCCTCTCCCCCTCTCCCCCTCTCTGCCCCTCACCCCCTCCTCCCCTCTCCCCCTCTCCCTCTCTCCCTCTCTCCCCCTCCCCCTCTCTCCCTCTCTCTCCTCAACAGTGGTGATCCCCGGTTCCCCGGACCAGGACTACGTGAATGCCACGTGGCCCGCAGCCACGTGGCCGGCACCGTGAGAGTGCTGCTGGAAGGTGGAAGCACAGGAGAGTGGGGTGCTGCTGGAAGGTGGAAGCACAGGAGAGTGGGGTGCTGCTGGAAGGTGGAAGCACAGGAGAGAGGGGTGCTGCTGGAAGGTGGAAGCACAGGAGAGTGGGGTGCTGCTGGAAGGTGGAAGCGGAGGAGAGCTGGGTTGCTGCTGAAAGAGAGGAGAGCGTTGATCCGTGTGCTGGCCTTCGGTGATAGTCTGCTTTCGTTTTGCTCAGTCCCTCTTGTTGCTTTCTGTTTGTTTCTTTAGTTATCATCAAATGTTTTTGGTTTGTGGTTCCTGTTTGTCTTGGTAGTTAGTTCATCGCTTTCGTTTGTCTTGTATGAGTTCTTTCAAATAAAAGAGTGAAACATTTGCTGCAGCCAAAACCATTTCATAGGATTTCCCAATTCAACCAATATGTTGGGGTTTCTCATGAACACCCATCAAACTCACAGATGTACAGGTCCGGTTTGGTTTGTCTCAGTTCTTATGGGTTTTGGCAACTGCCAGCCTCTGGTACTGCTGTCCCAAATGTGACCTTGATTCAGCGGTGGGGTGTTTTCGCGGTTTAGAAAGCTCGTCCCATTGGCGATCGTCACAAATTTGTGTTGCTGCCTGGTTTGGGAACTTTTGTTGCTTCCGTTCTATCAACGAATTGAGCGACAGAATTTTACGCTTAGCGAGTCACTGCGCCGATACGTTCAAGTTGACTCCAGGAGCTGTAAATCACCACCTGAGCTCAGCCCTGTTAAGAGAGGGTTTTAGCTAGGTAGGAGAAAGTAGCGAGAGAAAAGAGTGTCGACTAGTGACGACAGAGAAGTACAAGAAGTGGGTTGTACTTCTTAGAACTGAATAATTGAATGAATAGAGAACTAAGGTACAAGGATATATATCTAAGGGTTGTACCCTCTAAGAGGTGACCCTATACAGTCTATACAAACATTAGAGATACAAATATTTGACACACCCCCTAGACTGCATAGGGGCAGTTCCTGAACAAGCAGCTCAGGGTGGCACTACTAGTCCAGCCACTGAGACAAGGGTCTAAAGACCAGTCAAAAGGAGTACAGGCAAGGCAAGAACAAGACCACGGCGGCACTACTAGTCCAGCCACTGGAAGAGGACACAAGTCCAGTCTGAGTAAATATATAAAGGACAGTACAAAGTCAAGGCCCTAGCAAGTGAGAGGCTACAGGAACTAGACCGAGCTGTACACAGTGCCGCTGATGATCTTTAGGCGCAAGCGCCTTTGTAAAGATATAAGCTGTGTTGGCACCTGAGGCCAAGTGCACTACGCGAGCCTGACGGCGCTGATGTAGCTCGCGCAGGAGGAAGTACCGCAGCTGGATATGCTTCGCTCTGCCCTCGAGTCGAGGCTGCTGACACAGGAGGATCATGGCCCTGTTGTCAGTGTACAGGACCAAGGCAGAGCTAGGCCGCTCACCTAAGTCAGTGAGCAAGAAGGTCAGCTAGCGGAGCTCCTGTGCCGCCATGGCACCAGCGTAGATCTCGGCCTCACAGCTGGACTGGGCAACAGACGAGAACCAGGTAGCTCTCCACGAGACAGCACCTGAACCAAGGCAGAAGCAGTAGCCCTAGGAAGACCTGAGGGTCTCGGCGTCGTCTGCCCAAGAAGCGTCTGAGTGTCCAGTAAGGACCACTGGCCTGCGTCCTCCTAGCACTAACCCCATGCCCGATGTACTTGCGAGATAGCGCAAAACCCTCTTAGGGGCAGATCAGTGCTGCGGTCGGTGTCTACCTGTGGCCACAATGCGAGCTAGGATGCTGAGAGGGTATGCGAGATCTGGGCGAATGCAAGTCATCAGGTACATGAGGCAACCCACCAGCTCTGCGTAAGGACCACTGGGCTCTACTGACTCCTTAGGAACTGGAGCGGAGAGTCTGTAGTCTACAGGCAGAGGGGTGGGCTGTGCCGAGGAGAACTGAAGGCTGAACCTCTCAAGGACCTGGCGCACCAAGTGTGACTGAGTCAAAGTGATGGTGCGCGCTGCTCTATCCCTGGAGATCTGCAAGCCAAGGTAACGGCGCAGTTCTCCAAGGTCAGTGCAAGTGTGTCTCTTCAGCAGCTCTGCCTTCACCGAGGCCAGTGCGTCCCTGTCTGCTGTGGCAAAGACCAGGTCATCCACGTAAACAAGGATGTAGAACGGAGTCTGGCCAGCACGAACGAAGAGTGAGGGGTCTGCAGAGGACAGAAAGAACTGCAGGTCAGCAAGGGTAGCACGCAACGTATCATGCCACTCACGAGGAGCCTGCCGCACACCGTAGACGGGACACCGCAGGAGCCACTGGGTCCCAGGAGGGAAGGTGCCAGTGAAGCCCTGAGGGCAACGCAGGTAGACCTGCTCGTATAGGCTGCCCTGAAGAAACACAGTGGAGAAGTCGAGGGAGTGAAGCTCGTACTCACGCTGAGCTGCTACGTGTAGCAGCACCCGAAGAGTAGTCATCTTCGGAGTCGGAGCGAAAGTCTGAAAGAAGTCCACCCCCTCACGCTGACTGAAACCTCTAGCCACGTAGCGCGCCTTGAACACAGGCGGCTCTCCAGGAGGGCGCTTCACCTTGAAGAGCCAGCGGCCATCGACTACGTTCACCCCAGGTGGGGGAACTGCGTCGACGTAGGTGCCGGTGGATCTCCAAGATGCCATCTCCTGCTCCATGGCAGCTATCCACTGAGAGGCCCAAGGTCCCGAGGTCGCCTAAGCGTAAGTGCGAGGGGTCGGGATGTCGAAAGCGTCTGGGTCACCCTCAGGGACTAGCAGCATGGAGCAGAGATGGGGAGCAGCCTCAGACAGGAAAGCAAGCTCGAACTGGCGGTCCTCCAGGACGTCACAGCCGAGGGCAGGAGCACCCCCGACAGACGGAGGACAGGTAGGGTCAGAGACCAGAGCGGTGGCGTAGTCAAGGCGGCGGGTAGAGGCGAAGTCAGCGACCACAACGACAAGAGCACCAAGACACGAGACCGGAACGGACGGGTCGGTAACGAGAGAGGCAAGGACCCGAGGAACAAGAGGACGAGCGGCACGAAGGTAGTCAGACAAAGGAAAAGGCGCAACGGTAAGAGAGGATGGAGGAGGCGACGGTAGAAGGGGAGGACGAGAAGCGTGGGAACGGAGCAACATAGGGTGAGAGCGCGTGACACGGGAGATAGGACGAGCGCGGGAGGGACGGCGTGACCAGATATGAGACGGAGGCGTCAGGTCAGGAGACAAAGGAGGGGACACAAGGGGGGAGGGAAGGGGAAGACGAGCCGGGGACGAGTCTGGCGGAGGAAACACAGGGCCGTAGACAGGAAGAGGAGGAGACGGCAGGAGAGGAACAGACGCAGGGTCAGGGGACGGAAGGCCGAGCAGGCGAAGGGCTGAGTCCGGCGGGGACTGCTGCTGCGGCGGCACAACTCAGACACCGGGACCGCAAGCTACTCCTCGGCTACCTCCGGGACATTCCACTCCTCCACCCCCAGAAGGAACACCCCCAGAGCCCGAAACCTCTCGAGCACCGGTACCACCCCCAGGGCCACCGGGACAAGCCACGACAGGAGCCCTAGGACTAGTACCCACCCTAACTCCAGCACCCCCAGAGTCAACGAACTGCTGCTGCGACGGCGGCGGCTGCAACGACGGGTGCGGCGGCGGCGGCGGCTGTCACAGGATCAAACGACTCGAGGAAAGATTGCACTATGGATCAGCACAAGGCGCTTTTATACTTCCAGAGTACATCAAGTAACCAGGTTTATCCTATCCAAAGGGAATAGACCCTTCTAGAAGATAGAATCACCCTGCGTATAGCCACGCGATGCTATTGGCTTTAAGGGATTACGGCAGGATTACGCTAGATGTAGCGCGCCAGTACATCCCAAGCCTGGTCGGTGATATAATTATAATAGCAAGATAAACCAAAGGATAATGGAAAAGCAAGAATAGGAAACCAAATATGATGGGATAAAAAGAGAGATGAAATAGAAAGGAAAGAGAAGAAGGAACAAGTGGTGTAACGGGGTCGTACTCTCACACTTCCCCCCCTCAAAGCTGGGTGGTAGAAGTAACACCCTGCTTGATAAGGTAGTCATGCAGAGGACGACGGGCGTTACCCATGTCTGTCTCAGGTACCCAGCTGTCCTCAGAAGGATCACAACCCTTCCAACGGATGAGAAGCTCCATGGTGCCATTCCGACGACGGCGGTGTGCAAGCACGGACTCGACCTCGTACTCGGGTTCATCCTGGACGAGGACGGGCTGCGGCGGCGGCAGTTGGCATCCGACGAAGATCGTATTCGGATCCCGATAGGGCTTCAGAAGTTGGACATGGAAGGCGTTGTGAATCTTCCAGGTAGCTGGCAGGTGTAAGCGGAAGGTAACAGGAGTGACCTATGCTTCAACGAGAAAAGGCCCGTAGAAGCGAGGTCGAAGTTTCGATGGGAGATGGCTGATGGCAAGGTTGCGGGTGTCAAGGAGCACTTGGTCTCCCCCGGTAATGGTGTGGTCGTTGCGATGGCGATCGGCCTGGCACTTCTGTTGCTGCTGAATGTCGAGGAGGCGCTTGTGGGTCCGATCCCAAAGCTGATGCATGGTTGTGATGAAATCATGTGCAGGTTGGACTGTAGCGGATGTTGTCGGTTTCTGTGGTGTGAGTGGGTGGTGTCCGTAACAGAGGAAGAACGGCGTCTATCTAGTAGCGGCATGTGTAGCGTTGTTGTAAGCAAACTCTAGAACGGGCAGGTGCAGGTCTCATTTGGAGATCTCGTCCTTGCAGGCTGCTCGGAGGAGTTGCTTAACAATCTGGTTGAGACGCTCAGTCTGTCCGTCTGTCTGCGGATGGTAAGCAGATGACATGGCGAGTTTGGTCCCGAGGAGAGACATAAGTTCCTTCCAGAACTTGCTGGTGAACTTGGGGTCTCGGTCGGAGATGAGTGTGGTTGGAATGCCATGCTGTGAGATGATGTATCGAACGAAGAGTTGTGTTGTTTCTTTAGTGCGTGCTGTCGTGTGTGTCGGGATGAAGTGTCCCATTTTGGAGAACTTGTCGATGAAGTGTTTGGTCCCATCTGGAGGGCAACCAGTGAGGAGTTCAAAATTAAAATTAAAACATTCGAAGGGATCGCAACAGCCAGAAAGGCCCGCGCACTGTAGCGAACCGTCAACACTCGACAAAATGAAACAGAATGTTCCGAATGGAGGATACACGCGACAAGGACCTTCTGGAATCAGCAGCTCATCCCGTTAAGGTCTGTGGTTTTTCCCACACTAAGCCATATTTGGTTCAGGGCAATGTGAAATTCCATTTCACAATGTGATAATAAGCCGATCTTGGCAATGACTGTATCCGCCTTTTGATGCTAAATGATTTGAGACAAACGAG